CTGCTCCTCAGGAAGATATATGCGCTCAGAGATGGAACAGAACACGGACATGTAAAGTCATCTTTTAGCTCAAGGTGCGCGCCTAAATTGTCAAATACACGCAAAAATGTGTTAAAATGCGGTGCTTAGTGATTATTCATGTATACCTTCGTCGGTCATGTAATAAATGAACGTAAAGAGTTCAGAATGAAAATACGCGTGAAAAGGTGGATCAGCTCTTAAAAGTGACAGCGGGCTATTTACCTGCTGCGACGGTGTGCTTAATATTAATCAAACAACAAAAGACAAAAACAAGATCACTCACTGCTCGAGTGAAGGACTTTTGTAACTTTAATAAGAAACAAAAAAGTTTAATTATTACAGTGAAGACTATGCTGTTTTATTTTACATTTGATTATTAATTTCTGTAGTAGGCAGTAAACTGCTTGAGACTAAACTGCTTGCTTTTTTATTACTGACACTTTAATTATTTTCAATAATTTTGAGGACTTTTTGTTTGTTTGTTGCAAACACTCGCCGAGCACCAAATGAGAGTAAAAGTTGGTGAGTATATAAAATTTTAGCCTACCGGCCATTTGGCTGGTGACTTTATTAGGAATTGCAACAATGCATGGGAAGATAATCTGAGCCTCACTGGTATTTTATCTGTCTAATAATGATGAAAGTGTTTGTGTTAATATACACAGAGTCTCTCTTCTCTGATCTTTCCAAATGTGGATCTGCTGTCTGCTAGTAATTAGGTAAGGCTGTTAAGTGACATTCCCAAAAAAAAAAATCTTATATGGTTGGATTTTTTTCTCCAGAGCTCCATTTGGCAACACATTTAAAGAATATTCCTCATTTTAAGCCATCAACATGTGTCTGAATGTAGAGGTCTGCGCGGGACTGTTTTTTTAGTCCCGCTCCCGCAAGGTTCTATTCCGCACCCACCCGCTCACGCTATATATTCACACTTTGTTCACCCGCTGTCCGCTTAGAATAATTTTCTTCCCGACCCGACCGTTCCCACTAAATTTAGATCTCGTTTCCAGAATCTCACATTTAAATTTCCGCTACTGAAAGAAAGAGAGATAGGCTGACAAATAAAAGTGTAGTCTGCACAAAATTGTATGCTATTTTATTCGTCTTGTCAAGAGTCTTGAATTGATTGACTTTGACTTGAATTTATATGAATTATCTTAAGACACAAAATTAATTTAATATTTTATGCAACACAGTAGGAAAAAAAGTGTCAGAGAAAATAAAAATGTTGTA